GTTTTGAATAGGAGAATCTCACAAGAAAAGTGGGGTTTAACGTGTAAGTTTCGTTGCCAATCAGTACCCTGTAGACTAGTCTTTTAGAATGAACTATTTATTTAGACTTGTACTTGTAACTTTGATGTTTCATTGAGGTAGATATTTAAAAAGAAAGTTATTCATAGAGGGTACTGACTGGCAAAAGATTGGGTGAAGTATTATGAAGTGAAGCTGTCAAGAACATTGGCTCTCAAATGCATTGTTATGAGTGTCATATTGAGAAGCCTTATAAGAAAAGTGAGGGGCTTACAAGTTCAAGAGGTTCTCCTATTCAGTAGGCTAGTCTTTCAGGATAAACTCTCTCTAATAACATATAGACTCAGTGCAATGAAGGAAAAAGTTGTGATATTTGCATACTTACTTGTGAATCATCAGTTTGTCCATTCCCCGAAGCACCATACTTGAGGACGTCAAAAATAGGATCAGCTTGTGAAGAAGTAACAAAGCACAGGAAGAGGATAGCAAATAAGCCTTGCATATTCATTTACAACTGAACACACAAGACTTTTTACTTAACTGACTAAGCGTAGAAAGGAGAAAGCCAATAGAATGATATAATTTTTACTTGTATGGTTGGTTTGTGTGCTCAAGTAAGAGAACCACCTGGGCTTATATAGTCTGGAGGAGACACATATAATTAATTACTTGGGCTATTTTTGGATTTTCGTTTATTTCTCCTATTATTAATACTCCCATGCATTTAATTTTTGCTTCAATCTTTCATCCCAGATGACGGTATTCCCATATTTGAATTCTTTAAAAATAGAAGTTTACACATTCTGATGAAAAATTCAGAAGTCAACACTATGTATTAATTTCAACGTATTTATTAATCATAAATATGTTGTCCTCCTATGATTGGAAAAATAAATTCATAATTAATATTTAATTACTATTTGTCTATTATATAATCTGCTGATTATGTATATAACTAGGAAAAAAGGCGCCCACATTACACGAGTATCAAAATCTATACGCATAATAAAAATTTAAACAAAATGGACAAACATTTTTACCAAAAAACCAAAAGATAAAATATATCGATTATCACCTTACAAAATAAATAATTAAATAGATAAATTTTACAGTAGAATAGAAATATTTATTTAGTTCATTATATTTATAGATAAATATTTTCACATTCGAGGTGCAAATAATGTTTACATACACTCTCAACTATAACATTTATATGTTTACCTTATTAGCCTTGTGTTCAATGTATTCACAAGTCAACCATTTTATTTCCTTCAATTCAGGAATGAACATAAGCGAGTAATATTACTAATGATATTGATTAAGTGCATGAATTTAGTCCCATTTATCTATTTCTATGCATTTTATGTTTCTTCCTTGCATGTATGTGAACAATATAATTCTAATGCCCCTAAACCTAGGCATGATTAATGCAACATAAATTAAAAAAAAAAAAAATTGGACTGAGATCTGATGCAATAACATACTATACATTTAAAAGGATTAGAAGAACGATATAAAAAAGGGTGTGTATAATTTTTTAAGCTTTCTATAAACTTTTTTTTTTTCTCTAAGTTTAAACCGTGCTTTGATTTGATAAATGCATGAGTTTTTTTTTTCACTATAAGTTAAATAATCCCTTTGCTAATTATTATAAAACTCTTAACTAATTCACACTTACTAATAAAAATAGTTAAAAGCATTAAATTTAAATAATTTTTAATATTATCCTCATTAAATATTAATTCATCCTTCTCTTTGACTTCACCATCTCTAATGCTTCTAGTTAATGCAGCACATCCAAATTATTAGCATGATCATCTCCAATTCCAATGGCATAATTATTGTGATTAATCAATTAAAAGCTGGTTTTATCCATCAAACCAGAATTATTGGTGATGATTTCTAAGAATTCTCAAATTAACAGCATAAAATTTCACCTCATTTGCGTCTTAAGATTTGAAACCAATAATTTTAGTACCTGAAATTTCACTTTATTTTGTTTTGCCTAAAGATATTTGATTTCCGAAACTATATTTTTCATTCCAACATTGTTTTTTTTTTCCTGAAACAAGGTTTTAAAACCCAAAATTACTGTTTCAAATTTTGTAAACCAAAACTAAAATGGGACCAAATTTTAAGGATCAAAACTAGTACTCTCTCCATCTCTTTCCGTAAGAAACAATTACCATCTGTATCTTGTTTCTATTTATAAGAAACATTTTGCAAGATGTTTCTAATTTTGTTGGTTAGTCTTCTATTTTACTCCCATTAATTACTTATTTTAGTACTTAATATATTTGTTATTTTATTTCCTGAAGTATCATTCTCTTTATTTAATAATTTTTATTATCTCCTTGATACTCTTTCCACATAAATAGGAATATCACTTTGTTCCTTATTATAGGTCACTTGTACTCTAAAAGTTTGTTTCAAAATATAAGTCACTTGTAGTATAATTAATAAACTTTTTCCAATTTTACCCCTATTAATTTAATTAAAAAAAATTAATCTCTCTCTCCACCTCTCTCAACTTTTCATTTCCTATGCCATCCATCCCCTCCTCCCCTCTCTCTCTCAACCTTTAATAAGGGTAAATATGAAAAAAAATTGGTTAATTTAATGTATTTCTTGGTTTGCAGGTTTGGGATACAAATGACTTATAATAGAGAATAGAGTGATATTTTTTAGAAGGATAATACTTTCGTCAAGTTCTTCAATCACACTCTATATATTTCTTCCTTCTTTCTTAACAAAAGGTTTAAGTGAGAGTCAAAACATGCCTCTAGTCCAAAAAGCACTTTTTGATATATTTGCAGATCGCTCATTAATAAAGTTCTCACATTAGAAAGAGGATTCGAACTCACGATCTTGTGAATTATTAGCCGACTTCTTATCAATTGGAACAATCCTAATTGGCAAATATATTTCTTCATTTTGTCCGCTGTCTCTTTTGTGTTGGTTGTCTTTTTCCATTCATGATGTAAAAAAAAAGTATAAATTGAAAATTTTCTTATAGTTATGTATCTGGAATTCCCATCTCAAAAGGACATTCATTCCCTCTTTACCTTAATTCGAAATGAAAAGACATGCATGCAAATTCATACAGATTATAAGTCTATTTGTAAAACTAAAATTGTTAGAAAAATGTATAAATAATATAAAATTGCACGTGCTAAATAATAAAAGTATAAAATATAAATAATATAAAGTTTGATACGTTCGAAAGGTATATTTAGCAAATGGCCCATTAAAATGTATTTAACATTTTAGAGTATTTTTCAGTAAGATTCCAAATTCTAAAATAATTTTTTAGTACAATTTCGTTCTTAAATATTATTTTGAATAACAGTAAGCATCCTAAACTATATTTTGTCTCTTTTTCTCTCATTTTTTATTATCTTATTTTGATATTAAAATTAGAGGAAAAATAGTTTTTTTTTTTATACGTCGGAAAACAAGGAAACTAGCTATTCTTTACTAAAGATAAAATGAAAGATATTTTTTCATCTTATGAGTGATGGAAAAATAGTTTATATTACTACTAAGAAAATACCTTAAATCTTAGTTTAGAATGAAAGAAAAATATAGAGGGAAAAATAACCCCCGGGGAGGTCCCAAAAATCAATATTACAGTGTTAAGTGCTATTAAGAAAATACTTTAACAACAAAATTGCATCAAAAATTAATTTAGGATGTTAAGTAATATTAAAATTAAAATAATATTTACAAAGCCAAGTTAAGTTACCTGAATGGGCTTTTTTGAAATACTCCATCCGGTTCAAAATATAAGCTAAATTTTTTTTTTAAATGGATTAGTTTTTTTTATAAGATAACATTTACTTTTGTCTAAATATTTAATAAAAATTTTTCAATTTTACCCCTCATATTCTCTATCTTCTTTAATTCATTTATTATATATTTTACTTATTCTATTCATTAATAAGAGTATATTAGGAAAAATAAACATATGCCTTACGTATTTATTGTTTTAAATTGATTTTAATTAGTTTCTTAATAAACGTAATAAATAAAGTTTAGTTTATATTTTGAATCGGAGGGAGTATACTATTTGTGTTTGGCATAGAGACCTTACATGTAGCCAATCATATCCTATGAATCATAAACTTGGAAGAAGTGAAATTCATACTTCATTAATATGTTTATCAACGCCCAACTTTGACCCGTTCTATTGAGTTGTTGGATGGACAAATTTATGGATATGTTATTCATCCAATGAACTACAAGATTAAATATATTAATGATTAAAAAGGCAGATGCTTATTCATAATTTCTTTACCCAATAAAAGAGGTTCATGAGTATACAGAACAATCAATGTATTCAAGTGGTACACATGGGTGAGCATTAAACAACAAAATCAAGAATTTGTGATGAAAAATATTCCACCTTAAATATGCCATAAAATTTGTCGCAATATCAATTATAAAGAATTTTTGTTGTTTTTAAGGGAGAATTATAACAAAATCCTATTAAAAAAAATCACAAAATCAACTCAGCAACATATAATGACTAGTTTCAAAATAAAAAACAATAATTTTTAATTTATTATTCAGACTTTTTGTAGTTATACAATTCTCTCTCTTTTTTTTAAAATCCCTTTCAACAACTATGATAGGGTTGCAGCAATCAGGAGGCGGGACAGCTCCATAGCTCTATTCTCACTTGTTCTTGATAAGACTTAATTTCACCATAAATACCTAATATTTCAACAATACATCGGAAGCCACACCTCCACATCATATGGGGTTAGAAAAATCTCAGTTTTTTTTAACTGATATGCTATAAACAGTATGGAAAAAAAGGGAAAATGACAAGAAAATGACTGTTGAATTCTGAAATGATAAAATAGGCATGTAATTACTGAAATGACAAAATGGGCATGGGGTATCAATATGGAATTTGGATAATTCGCCAAAAAGACTGAAATGCCCCTGAATCAATCTGAACTCATGAAGACAAAGGCATGACACGTAACAAGAGGGAGAGATCAGAAGCTGAAAACGGAGGTGGAGCAGAGTCGAACGCTGAGAAGACGGAAAAGGTAAGGAAAATTTCTCCTAAAATGCTGTTATCTACTCCTCCAACTCTCACCATTGTACAAATCTGATTTATTACGGTGGAATTGCTTTGTGGGCAACCTGGTTTGTAGTGAGAGAGGGGTTGAACGTGGGTATTACGTAAGAAAGTGGAGCTTAATGATGGGTTTGGGTTTTCAAGTCGGTTTACTGGTACATGGTCTAATGGGGATGGGTTTATGAGTGTAGATGGTTTAAATGAAGAATCTGACCAGGATGAGAGAGTGATACATCGGAAATGGAAAAATGGTGGGAACTGATAACATGGGCATGAAGTTTGAGGGCTAACAGTAAGCATGAGGTGGTCAGTGTGTCAAATTCATTATTGGAATTGTGAAATCCCATATTTAAGTTGTCAATGTAGCAAGTGTGTACGGACATATTTTGGGTGTTGCATTTTTTGTGAAATCGCAAGAAAAGTTTCGAAATCTTGATAAACGAAATTGATTATTAGGGAACTAAAATATTGATTTATGCTTCTGTGGTGCAGGTTAGGTAGCTTTGATGACATCTAACATTGGGTCAACATCTTCAAAGCGTCTTGCTTGTTACTTTCATATGGGTGGGAAGTTTGCAGAAAATGGTGATGGTGAAGTTAAGTACTATGGTGGAACTGTCGGGGTAAGAGTGATCAAGGAGGGTATAAGGCTTGAAGATTTGAGGGTTATGATAGGAGAATGGTTTGGTGTAGATAGTAATGGTTGCGACATTAAATACACATTGGGCTTGAATGATAGGATATTAATAGATCTTATTAATGATGATGAAGTTGACAACCTATTTGAGTATAATGATAGTAATGCACATGTTTACGTAGCAGCTAAAGGTAATGAGAATACGAAGGAAGAAGTGGCTAATCGAAACAGGTAAGTCACAAGTTTCGGATTATGGAAGTTGTTACTTGCGATAATGTTGTTGTTAATATCATAACAAATGTTGTAATTATACATGCAGCATGTCAAAATTGTCAGGACTGTCACAGCAAAATGATGAGCCAATGATTGAGGATGCTGTCGAATGTGTGAATTACATAGCAGCTGAAAATGTTCTTAGCCTGCCATATGCAGTAGAGAGTGCACCAACTCCTTTGCCAGGAGTGAATTCCTTGAAATGGAAGACAGTATTGTTAGGATTTAGGCAGACTTTTCCAGATGCAGATGATTTCAAGAAGAAACTACACAAATTCAGCATTGCAAACAAATTTGAGTATAAATATGTGAAGAATTCTAATGCCCATATGTATGTCAAATGCAATGTTGAAGGTTGTCCATGGAGGATCAGTGCAAGAGCAGCTGTAAAGAGTACTCCAGCATTTTTACATGTAACGACATTCAAAAATGAGCATGTTCATAATGCCCAAGACAATCTTCATGTGACATATGGTGGATCAACTAGCTTGACATCATCAATTATAATTAAAGAGGTTAGGGATCATATAGACATGCGTCCAAATGATATAAAAAAGAGGTTGGAAAGAGATTATGATGTGAAGTTGACATATAAGCAAGCATACAGGGCCAAGGAAAAAGCATTGGAGGACATACATGGCAGACCTGATCATTCTTACATGCTTATTCCATGGATATGTGACCGGTTGAAGGAAACCGATCACAAAACAGTGGCAAAATGGGTGGCTGCAAGGAACAACAGATTTGAGCGTGTATTCATAGCCCATGGGTGTTGTATAGAGGGTTTTATTGCTGGTGCTAGACATGTACTGTATATTGATGGAAGTCATTTAAGTGGACCGTATAAGGGGACACTACTTTCAGCGTCGGTTTATGATGCGGACAACGAATTATTACCTTTTGCCATTGCGATTGTGAAGGGAGAGATGCTTGAGGATTGGACATGGTTCTTACATATGATCAAGGAGATAGTTGGGTCAATGCAATTAACAATCATTTCAGACCGACACAATGCAATTATAGGTGCTGTGCAAGCAATATTCGGAGGTGAGCGACATGCGTACTGTTACAGACATGTTAAGGAGAATTTCAGTACACAAATGATCAAGTTAAATAGAGGAAGAAGGAAGACAAGTGGCAACACAAGGGAGGATGGACTGCATTTCCTAGATGCCATTGCATATGCAAGGCTTGACACAGAGTTTGATCAAGCAATGGATAACATGAGACACTTCAATTTCCAATTATTTGAATGGCTTGTCAATCATGGTGATATTCACAAGTGGGCCTTAAGCAAGTTCTCTTTTAAACGATGGGACAACATAACAACAAACCTTGCAGAGTCATTCAATGCGTGGATGCTGAAGGAGAGAAGATATAATGTTGCCCAACTTATACATGAGCATCGTGAAAAAGTAGCCAAAAGATGTATGCAGCAAGCATGGCAATGAGCAAATGGAAGAATGGTGTAGGCCCAAATACAAATGCAACATTGATGGAAAATGTGGCGAGATCTGCACAGATGTTAAGTGTTCCTTACAGAAGGAGTAGGGTGTGTGTCCATACAGCAAAAGGAGCCATTAATGTTGATCTTGGAAAAGGTGAATGTAGCTGTGCAGCTTGGCAAATGTCAGGCATCCCATGCCCACATGCATGTGCAGCTATCAAGGCCTTGAATTGCAATGTGTATGATTTTGTTGAAAAATGCTACATAAGATTACGTCGCAACAAAAGATTTATGGTAGGACGATGACTCTAGTGGTGACAATCGACATGCCAAATCCTAATAACTATCGGCTGCAAGATATAGCAAGTCAAGTGTTTTTGGCACCACCTTTGACTAGTCGACCACCTGGAAGGCCTAGGATAAATAGGCAAGAGTCGCAGTTTCAAAACAAGAAGGTCTACCATTGTAGTGCATGCCAGCAAGTTGGCCACACAAGAAGAACATGCAAGAATCCAAACCCAACTTAAGGTTTCATGTCAATACCAACAAGGGTAATTTTTTTGTTATAGGAAAGGAATGACTCTTGAACCCTTTTTAATTTTTTTGGGAGAAGGGTTGATAGGTAGGCTATCTTTTTTGTTAATGATGTTAACTGGGTAGGAGATGTTCTGTAATCTGAATGACAAGAAAACATTAGGCGGTGGGTTAATTCTAATGTTAACTTGTCATTTGGATATCAGTTATGTAGCTTCTGTCATGGGCGTACTGGTTTTTAGTAAATATTATCACGTCAGTAGTCAATTCCTTTACAGATATAGTAAAGTCTGAATGTTAATGTAAAAATCATATGATGGGTAGGCTATCCTTTTTGTAAATGATATTCACTGGGTAGGATATGTTTTGTAATGTGAATGAGGAGGAAACATTAGGTGGTGGGTTAATCTTACTGTTAACTTGTCATTTGAATATAAGTTATGTACCTTCTGTGATGGGCCTACTGGTTTTTGGTAAATATTGTCACTTCAATGGTAAATTCCATTACACATGTAGTAAAGTCTGAATGTTAATGTAGACATCCTATGATGCTCTTTTGGTGTACTTCTATGCTATTTTGGCAACACAGATGACCTTTTGTTTAATGCCCTCAAGGGAGATGGTGGAAGTTGCCAATGGGTATGACTGGAGTGGTTAATGTCATCAACGATGTTGTTATTCACATTACCAATGTTGTTATTATCATTTCCAGGCTAGTGAAACTCTCTGAAAATATGTTACTTGACTTTGAAATAAAGGAAGTAGACGTGGAAAAAGTAGAGTGGTAAATATCATCACTAAAGTTGCATTTAATATTTCCAATGTTGTCATTATCATTACGGGGGTAGTAAAATTTTCTGAACAATTTGATGCGTGGGTTTGACTTAAAGGAACCGAAAATGGGAAAAGCAGACTAGTAAATGTCATTACTGAAGTTGCAATTAACGTTTCCAATGTTGTCATTATCATTACGGGGGTAGTACAATTTCCTGAAGAATTTGATGCGTGGGTCTCAGTTAAGGGAACCAGAAATGGGAAAAGCAGACTGGTAAATGTCGTTACTGAAGTTACAATTAACATTATCCATGTTGTCAGTATCATTACGGGGGTAGTAAAATTTCCTGAACAATTTGATGCGTGGGTTTGAGTTGGGGGAACCGGAAATGGGACAATTTCCTGAACATGGGGATGCAAATGGGGAAACCATAATGGTAAATGTCATTACTATAGTTGCAATTTCCCTTAACAATGTTGTGATTTTCATTACCCAGGTTGTGAAATTCTGTGACAATTTATACGTGGGGACGAAAATGTAGTTGCAAAAAGCAATAGCGAGGTGGTAACAATAATTAAAAAAGTTTCAATTTTCATTACGAATGTTGTCATTATCATTACTGGTAGCGAAAATGGATTCAAAAAACGTGATTTGGGCTTGAAAGACTTCAGATGCAAATGGCAACAGCGATGTGGTAACTATCATTACAGAGGTTGCAATTCTCAATCCGAAAGTTGTTAATCCTATTACTTGTGTAGTGAACCTGGGTCCAAGTGGATGTAATTTGGGGCACAAATAATCAACTTGTGATTATCATCACGGAAGTCACATGGCATGTTGTAAATACCATAACTTTTTTACTCAAATTATCCCAAAAAGGATTGCAATTAGGCCAACAACTGGCAGCCACTTAGTACCTCCAACCATAAGTCAAATATTAAGACTTCAAACTAACACTCCTTTTACAAATACTATATGCCTAATCTACATAATGTCTCCTCCTATCACAGATGGCGTCTTTTGGTCAGTGTGGTGGCTTGGGTTGATGAAAGCAAGCTTAATGCTTCATCACGTCTTGAATTAAGCTCATGATTCACTAGCCACCACATGAGGTTTCGTCGGAATTCAGCCACTTGTTCATCGTATAGTGAAGTATCTCACCGGGCTTCCATTTACTCAACCATATTAATACATGAACGCCGCAGTCTCGCCTGCACATCAAAACATCCCAACGATGTAAAAGAATGAAAATAACACATTGGGTTGCTTTGAGACGTAATAATATCAACAACATAAACCACTCACAGATTGTTTTGTTGCGGAACAGGAGCCCAAATGATATCACTCATTTTCTTCTTCCCAGTGGCATTAGGCTTAACTATCTCAATAATGTCATAAAATCTATTCCTCTGCACAATATCATTACGCAATTGTAAATAAAAGGTAAATGAAATGTCAATCATAGAAGATGAGTTGCATTATCCTTACACATTCAGTGACGACGGTCGTCATGTCATCAATAATTACACCCTTCTTCTTGCTCTTCTTCTTACCCTCTAAATTTGGCTTCATTGAGTCCAGCACATAGAAATTCATTGTGCTAGGCTCAAGCACAACACAGAACCAGTGAGCGCCAACAAGTGTGGGTCCAAAGATCAAATCACATTCTCCTATGTTGTAGCCTACATTTTCAGGTAAAAATTGTTTCTTCCGTTTTGTAGCATCCCACAGCTTTGGGTTAGCTGCCATTATTGCCTAAAACATGAACATTTTAGTCATTTATCAATATCAATCGACAAAAAACTAACATCTCAGCAAGCTTACCATAAAATCAGCATAAAAAATGTGCCGCTTCACCTGCCCTTCCTTCTCCATATCAGCCATTAGAGTCTTGCACACAGTTGACATCAGCTGTACGCAAAGAGATTATTGTTTTGATGAACCCAAAACGTAGCATCTACTAAACAATTAAATGACCTCATCACAAATATTCTACTTACCCGGTTACCTATTTTCTCAATTCCGCCAAGTGTCCTTAGCTGATCCCGAGTGATATCTTCATCAGAGATTTTCACCAAAGGCCTAAAAATATGTTGTCAATATCATTATGCATGTAGTCAATTACCACAAAATTGTAATGAATATGATTACGTGGGTAGTGGATATGTACATACATGTCACCCTCCTTGCTTGAACACATACGGGAAACTATGTCATAAAACCGGTCCTTGTCATCCATGGGCCTCTTTCGCCTCTTAGTTGGCTTTGTCAAAATCCATGGAGAATTGATAGCGGATTTCATCTCCCTTTGCGATCTCCGGAGTTGACATCCCTTGTCCATGGGGGACAAGGGCAGGGGAGACTCCATAATTTCTTTGTCTGCACCTTCTGCTGCAACACCGATGTCATCACCCCTATCTGAGCCAGTTGCATCATCGTCTCCCTGATCATCTCCCCCGTGGAACTCATCTCTATCATCACCTTCGTCATCAGACTCATGTCCATCATGATCATAGGGGTCTTCATCGCCAAATGCATCATCATCTCCCTTATCATCATCTGGGACGTCAATAGGGTCCTCATCATCTGTGGTCACATTATTTTCCTCTATCCTTATCTGCACCTTATCTAGCTCATCTTCCATTGCACTTATAAGCCTCCTAGTGCTTAATTCGATCTGAGCCATCAATCGTCCGTGCAACTTCTGTAACTCCTGCAGCAAACAATTTAAAATGAGTAAACACTTTTTTCATGAGATTATTTGCTAATGAGAATGAAAATTAGTAACGAAAGCACATACCGGGTGTAAATGAGCCACACTTCTGCGTTTTCCTTCATCCTTCCCACTTCTATCCATACTTCCCTTGCCCTTATACAGTAAACCCCTCTTGCTTTCCCTCTCCTTCTTTTCCAGCTTCCTTATCCTCTCATCAGTCCAGAATTGAATGGCATTTAGGGACCCTCTCTCAACAGTTTTGGATAGTGGGAAGTGCTCAGCAAAATATAACTACAACAGTAAATCATTAACTTGCCAATTCCACAAATAAAGAAAACAATAACTTAGAAGCATAAGTCAGAAATACATACCAACAGGAGGTAGATGCATCCTCCCACATTGCAGCTTCCTTCATCTTCATCTTCGTCTTTCTTTGCTTTTGTGTACACTTTCACATAATCTCCCATCTCTTTCCACAAGTGCTTCACAATGTACGTGGCCCAATCAAATTGGTGAAATCCCTTCATGGTACAGCACATGACTCTTATTAGCTTGTCACTCACAGTTGTTTGTGAAGTAGGAGTTAAAAAACTCCCAAGTGTGTACAGCATAAACAGGAACTCAAACTCATCTTTCTTCTGCCCAGATTTAATGTCATTGAGTATCTTCGTATAAGGGACTTTACCAAATTCCTCCTTCAACCTCTGGTATGTCTCATCATCATCACATACGTCCATTTTTACCTTCTCCCCTGTGTGGGGTACACCCAACAAGTTTGCAACATCATTTGCTTCTATTTCCTTTATTATCCCTCTTATTAGAAATTGATGGGTAGGCGGATCATATGCTCGGAGAACACATACTATGAGGTCACGAGGGAGTCTCTCACATCCAATGTCAAGTAAATGGCCAAAGCCTAAATTTTGTACCCTCACTTTCAAATCTTCATCATCTTTTATGAAGTCCACTAATGACTTAA